ATGTGTTCTCTAGTCCACACGTTTTAAAATATATATTTGTGTATGTGTTCTCTAGTCCACACGTTTTAAAATATATATTTGTGTATGTGTGTTCTCTAGTTCACACGTTTTAAAATATATATAATTTGTCTCCAGTACACAACAACTTGGTAGTGGCGATTGTTTGTTTGTAATTAAGCACAAAGCTACACAATGGGCTATCTGTGCTCTGCCCACCACGGGTATCGAAACCAGGATTCTAGCGTTGTAAGTCCGCTGTGCCACTAGGTTGGGGCAGGTAGTGGCGATATTTCGTTTCAAACATTATCAGAAATAAAGCTAATCAGTGAGATAACCCGAATGTCACCAAACTTTATGATCTGTTATGTACTTCCGGTTAAAGGTGATAAGTGAGATACCCGGATGTCATCAAACTATATCCACTATTACGTACTTCCGTTATTACGTTTTTCTTTACAACTTTGACAAATGAAACTGCTAATTCCGTGTAAACGTTTAACTGAAAAGTTGAGTTCAATTTAAACAAACTTTCTGACTTTTACCTTTAGATAAAGTCGTTTTTGTTTTTTTTACAATTTGGGTTTATTAATCTTGGTTTATTTATGTATTGGTCTTAATGGTTTCATGTTAAATGTAGACTTATTAATAACATTGGTTAAGTGAGAAAAGTAAACTGTGGACTTTATTATAATTCCCATAAATAACTCTAAATCTTAAAAAAAATACTTTATTTATAACAGCAACAAATAACATAATCATTCGTACATTCCACGTAGCTAGTATCAACGTTTGTCAATCGTCTGCAAGAAATTACAATTAGAATACGAGACGTTTGTCAATCGTCTGCAAGAAATTACAATTAGAATACGAGATATTTATGTAAACATTAAATGTGTGATCGAAGAATCGTTTATTCACACATAACGTGTGATTAAACACATCAAGGTTCATCTTAACTAAATTAATGCGAATTGTTGAAGGAGTGATTAAAAGAAAAGTGACGTCAAGATATAAATTACTCTTTTTTCCAAGTTACTCTCGTCAACAGTGTTTCTGACACAAGAATCAGTTGCTAACTATTTTCTAGGAAAGAACTGAAATTGATCAAAATAGTCAATGGATCTGTCAGTTCTTTTTTTTTTTTTTACATTTTATTTTAAAGTCTACCGATGTAGGAACGCGCATGTTAATTGCACACAACACTTTCCTTAAGCCTTTCAACACCAGCCAGACGATGGTCAAACGTAGGAGGACTTAAGATTAACTTTCCTCTGTTTCAGTTATTAACCTTCCTGGATGAGTACATATAGAAAGCAATTACACCTATAACTGCTCCTAGAGCAATGAAGAAAAAGGACAACCCCGCTGCAAGGCCTAGAGGAGAAAAAAGCAAACATTTTGGATTTTAAGACAGCATATCAAGATTAAGTCATTTAATAACACCTCCACTCTCTCCCTGTTTATGACACATTTTTTATAAACCTAAAACAATTTATTTAGACTACTTCAAAGTATTATTTTACTTATGCAGCTTTGATATGTCTGAAAGTAAAATATAACTAGGTTAGATTTTGCCTTATTGTGAAACTTGTGGATATGCAAGTATAAACTAGTCTCTACTCCTCCAAAAAACTGAAATCCATCTAAGTAATCTGAAATGGACCGGCGTTGTTGTAAGCGTTTGAAAAACATATTTGTGTTACATTTGTACCATAAAATGTCAGTACATACCA